ATTTTTTTAAATATAGTTTTTTATTGATTTCAGGGAGGAAGAGAGGAAAGAGAGATAGAAACATCAATGATGAGAGAGAATCATTGATTGGCTGCTTCCGGCATGCTCCCCACTGGGAATTAAGCCCAAAACCTGGGCATGTCCCCTGACCGGGAATCGAATAGTGACCTCCTGGTTCATAGTTCCACGTTCAACCTCTGAGCCACACTGGCTGAGCTGAACTGATTTAAATAAATTTGAAAATAAAACTTTTTAATTCTAGTTTTTCTGAATACAGATTCCATCCCTTGTTGATCATATCTATAGTATCTGTTTTCTAACAAAATGAAATATCAAGCAAAATTCATTACTGTAATGACTTGTATTTAATGTCATTTTCTCAGGAATCATATGAAATAGGAATTATGTCTTATGGGGATTTGGGTCAGGGAAGCAGAATAAAGAAGGCCAAGAAAGTATGAACCCGGGCAAAGGGTCTAGAACAGTGGTTCTCAACCTTCCTAATGCCACGACCCCTTAATACAGTTCCTCATGTTGTGGTGACCCCCAATTTCATTGTTACAAATTGAACATAATTAAAGCATAGTGATTAATCACAAAAACAATATGTAATTATATATGTCTTTTCTGATGGTCTTAGGTGACAGGGGTCGTTCGACCCCCAAAGGGGTTGCTACCCACAGGCTGAGAACTGCTGGTCTAGAACAAGACATTAGCTGCCAGTCTGGAATCTGACATTCTATGATTATTGAGTGTACTTTTAATAAAGGATTCTCTGGAATCCTGTTTGGTTCAAGATATTTTCCATTTCCTTTGAGTTAAAATCAGTACAGGGTGGTAGATTTTATAGGATTGTTTTTTAAAAAAAATCTGTAACAGATAAAGGCCTGCTGAAGGAAGTTGACAAACTTATTTTCTGGAGGTAACATTTGCCTTTGGTTCAGATGAGAGTCAGCCACTTGGAATGATATCTGATGGTGGTCAGAGACTCTTACTCAAAATCTGTTTGAACCTGCCCTTGCCAGGTGGCTCAGTTGGTTGGAGTGTCATCCCATACACCAAAAGGCTGCAGGTTCTATTCCCCACCGGGGCGCATAAACCTAGCTTTCGGGTTGATCCCCAGTTGGGATGCATGCCAGAGATGGAACATCCATGTTTCTCTCTCGAATTAATGTTTCTCTTTCTCTGAAATCAATTAAAAAAATATATCCTTGGGTGAAGATATAAAAGCAAAAAACAATCTTTTTGAATCAGAACTGGTAAATTTCACTATATGTGGCCAGTTTGGGGAATTTTAATCTTTCAGAATTAAAAAAAAAGGGATAAAGTTTGTATGAGCGATTTATTTTTTTGCAGATCATTCTCTTTTTCTCTTCTGTTGTCTTCTGCACCAGTTTTTCTAACCATCTGGTATCAAACCCCAGAGGCAACTAACATTTTTTTGTAGCTGCTTAAGTGTTCTTTTCTTATGCTCTAAAAAACTTTTATAGCTCATTCTTTGGATTGACATCTGCTGAAAATGAAGATTTAGTACCTTTCTGTACTCTCTCTCATCATAAATTGTGATGTATATTGTATAATAATATGTGACTATATGTGATCTTTAAATATAATATATAGTAAGTGATATAAGTATATTTTTCTGTGTTTTCAATGTTTGTCTTATTGTAAGAACCAAGTAGGTTAACTAATTATATTTACTTTTTTATATAACCCTTTGAGTGTGTTTTTTCTGTAGTTTAGTAATTTATTTTGAACTTGCTGCTTTTCTTTTCTTGTAATTATTTCTGCTCTTCCAGAAGAATTGCTCTCTATGGTCAGATACATTAGGTAACCTATAAGTTAACTTTTTTTTTCTCCTTGGATATCTTGAAGCCCTCTGTCCTGCTCTAATTTAAGCTGTTAGCTTCCCTTTACCATCATCCTGGGTAATTTACTTTGTCTCTGCCCTGTGTTGGACCTTCTTTTTCTTAATTCCCAGGTTTTCTTTTTTGATACCTTCCATGTCTAAACATGTTTTTATTTTCCCTTGCATTGGTAGTGTAGCTGGGTATAAAATTATAGCTTGAGAGCATTTTCTTCAGAAATTTGAAGGCATTGACTTCATTGTCTTGTGATTTCTACTGTTGCTTTAAAGCCATTTTGATTACCAGCCCTTTGTTTATAACATTTTTCGCTGTAACATTTTATGAGCTTCTTTTTCCTGATATTCTGAAATTTCACCATAGTATGCCTTGATATTCATTTCTTTTTTTAAACTGTGCTTTGTACTCATTGGGTCCTTTAATGTAAGGATTGGTGTTCTTCAGAATTGGAAATTTTCTTTTTTACTTACTTGGTAATTTCTCTATTTTTCCTGGAGCTTCTGTTATGTTGGATGTTGGACCACATAGTTTGATTCTCTTCTATTTTCTCTACTATTTCCTGCTTCCCTTCTGCCCGCATCAGTTTTTCCTTTTGTTCCTTCTAAGAGATTTCCCCAATATTTTAATTCTCTGTTGGAATTTTGGCTTTCAGTTTTGTAATTTTCAAGAGCCCTTTCTGTTTTTAAGCAGTATACTCTTGTTTTGTATATGCAATGTTTTTTTCATTACTTGTGTTTTGTTTTGTTTTTAATTGAGTTTTCATTTGTTCTTGGTATTATTTCTGTTTATTCTCAGATTTTTTTTTTTCTTTCTGACAGTCCATGATGTCTACTTTAAGTGAGAGCTATTAGAAATCTAATTAGAAGCTCTGTGGGGATGGTGGGCAATTCAATAGTAGGCTTCATTATATTTGCTAGCTGGCTTAATTTCTCTTTGGTGGAAAACTGTTACTATGTTATATAGGTTTTCTGGTTATTATTTTATATGTGTCTCTTTTCTTTCTCAGTTATTCTATAGATGAGTTTTCTAATTTCCTGCTTTAGGAAGGTGGGCTGAGGATTCTTTTCACTTTGTAGACTTCACTTAATACTTATTTTGAGTTTGTTACCATACCCTACACTTTGTAAGTTTGCAGCCTCGGGATCATTCATTGCAAAAAAATAAATATCTAGTCCTGCCTGGGTCAGTGAAAGGTTCTGATTTCTTTGTATACACGTTTTCCTTATTCTTGTGGAACAAGCCCTCTTATATTGGAAGTCCTTTATATACGCTATTTAGACTTTAAAGAAAATCTCACAATTTTATAAATAGTTATTAGGCAATGCAAATTCCTTCCCTTGTTTAATCCGATCTATAATATCTCAGTCATAGGAGTCAGGTTGTTGCATGATGGCTTATACCTTTACATAAGTTATATTGGGAATAATTATAAGAATCTAGAGTTTCACTAAATGTTTTCCTTAGGTAGTTTCTTTTTATTAGAGTATGTGGTAATAACTTGATTTCTAAAATATTTATTGATATTAGGGTAAATTTATTAGGATACATCAGAAAATTTGAAACATATATTGTACTGTCATTTGAATAATTCTATGGATAATGTAGATTTAAAATTAATTAGTAAGTTTTTTGTTACCTATAATATAATTTAAGAGATCTGTTAAACTTTTAAAAATAAGTTTGCAAATGAAATTTAAAACTTGGTACTAATTGTTTTAAATAGCGGATACTAGTTATGAAAGAGTTCAATAACTTTAAGCTATAATAATTTGCCTTTTAAAACTATTCTAGGTGGAAGAATACATGTTCACTTTTAGTGAACAAGAGCATGTTCCCAAACTCAATTTTGGGTCGCCCACCTTTCACTCCAAACCATCAACAACATAACTTCTTTGCCCTATCACCAACTCTTTATTCACACCAGCAGCTTATAGATGCACAGTTCAACTTTCAGAATGCAGAGTAAGTATGGTAATATTTTGGCCCATATCATTTGTAAATTATGTTTTCTACTTGATGCGAACCCTTTTTATATGAAACATTTGAAATTAGACAAAATATCTTTTGATCAATGAAATAATTTATTTTTTCTGAAATTGTTTTTTAAGGAACAAAATGTTTATTACTACTGTTTTTTGTTTTTGGTAGCTTATCTAGAGCTGTGTCATTACAGCAGTTGACATATGGAAATGTCAGTCCAATTTCCCCATTATTTCGAGGAAGGAAGTAAGTATATCTTAATGATTTTAAAAGAAAATTTTGCATTTCTTAGAACTGTGTAATAATGTACATTTTATTAAAATTGTATGGACAATATGCCCTAAATTTTTTTTCCCCCCTGGGATCAGTGTGATCAGTCCTGTCACAGAATTTTAAAACTTCTGTGTAGTATTTAAAGAATTTTAGGGATCCTTCGTTGAATTATTTCTGTCATTATAAGTTTTACATGGCATGAAGCTATATTTCTTCAGAAAACTACTTTTAATTGAGATTTTTAACTAAATCAGATGGCTTTCTGTATTATATGCTAGGGCTGCCATAACAAAGTATAAGACTGGGTGGCTTAAACAACAGAAATTTATTTTCTCATAATTCTGGAGGCTAGAATTCCAAGATCAAGGTGTTGGCAGGTTTGGCTTAGTCTGAAGCTTTCCTTCTTGGCGTGAGGATGGCTGCCTTCTCTCTGTGTCCTCCCATGGTCATCCCTGTGTCCGTGTTTTCTGTGTTCTAATCTCTTCTTCTAAGGACATTAGTCTTATTGGATTAGGACCTACCCTAATGACTCATTTTAACTTCTTTAAAGGTTCTATGTCCAAATACAGTCACATTTTGAGATATTGGGGGTTGGGGCTTAAACATCTGAGTTTTGAGGGAGACACAATTCAGCCCATAACACCTTATTTCAAAAGTTTACTACTATTTGGCTTATCTAAATCTTATACAGGTAAGGTTCTATGATAAATGTTATTATAATGAAAATTTCTACATGACATAAGCTTTCTATAGAGAAGTTCAAGCCAATTAATTTTAGTCAGTTTGATTAAATGAGATTAATGTATCAATGTAATTATAATAGAGCTTTAGAGGTAGATTATAAAAATATGATTTGGCAATATTTAAAAGATATTGCTATTTAAAACATAAAATATGTTATAATTTTTGTGTCCAGGTAAAAACAACACTACCTAAGAATTACTGATCACATTATGTAGTAGGCATTGTTCTAAGGACTTTACAAATAATAATTTGATTAAATTTCACAGCACTTTATGAAATAGGTACTATTATACCTCTTCTGTTGAGGAGAAAGCTGAAGCACACAGAAGTTAAGCAATTAGTTATTCAAATAAGATTGGCATAACTGGTATGAACCCAGGAGGTCTGGCTCTAGATCCTTTGCTTAGCAGCACTGAGTTGTTCTTCAAAGTTGTCATGTGGAAAGCTATATAATGATGCTAAAAGTACTGACTTTATTCAGATTTTTAACTTTTGGAAATTTGCCTTGATAGCCAATTTGTGAATCATGAATGAAAATAAATTCCATTAATTCATAGTTACACATATTTTAAAAACTAAATTGGCATTCTCAATAGAAGATATTTAAAATATAAAGCTCTAAATCAGCGGTCGCCAACCGGTGGTCCATGGACCACTGGTGGTCCGTGAGGTCCAAAAGGTTGGCAACCGCTGCTCTAAATTACTTTTAATGTTTAAAAAATATTAAATATATTTCTTACGTTTTTAGCACTGTTCACTTTTAGTGAACAGGTATAAGAGTTCCAGGTCTGTCAAGGAGAATTGGGATAATCCCAAAGGAGTATTACAATAAAAACCTTCAGGTTTCTATGACTGGTAGAATTTTAGAGCTTAAAAGGAATTGGACCATTTCCTATGGCATAAAGTATTATCTACATGAACAACTTAATATATCAATGAAGTAAATTCCTTTATTTTACAATAAATAATTACTTTCTAATGATTTTTTCCTTGCCTTTTATTTTGAAAATTTTTAAGCCTCCAGGAAAATTTAAAGAATAAATGGCCCAGCCAGGTGTGTCTCGGTAGTTGAGTGTCGACCCAGGAAACAAGTAACCGGGTTTGATTCCTGGTCAGGGGATATGCCTGGGTTATGGGCTCGATCCCCAGTAGGGGGTGTGCAGAAGGCAGCCGATTGATGATTCTCTTTCATCATTGATATTCCTATCTTTCTCCCTTTCCCTTCCTCTCTGAAATCAATAAAAAAACATTTTTAAAAAAGAGTAACAAATGAACACCTGTATTCTATTAACCTAAATTCACCAATTAAAGTTTTGCTATATTGTTTATTTTTTCTGCCTCTTTCTTTCCCTATACCCACATTTTTTTCCTGAACCATATGTAAATAAGTTGTTGACATCATTTCACTTTACCCCAATACATATCAGTTCATTCCTCCTAAAAACAAGGATATTCTCCTAAATAACCAAAAATACATTGTTCGCATCCAAGAAATTTAACAGTAATATACTAGCACTGTTATCTAAAATGTCGATCATTTTCAAATTTTCTTGTTCAGTGTCTTTGTGGCTTTTTAAAAAAAGTATCTTTTAATTTAGTTTTTCCTACTGATGAGTAAGAACATAGGTGGACTCAAAGAGCCTTTTTAAAATTTATAGCACTCAGTTCACTTAATTTATTCTCTTCATGTTAGAGTTTGGATCTTTTGTTGTTAGTGGTTCTATAAATAGTAGTAGAAACTTTCCTACAAAGTTTTCACTCCTGAGATGAAATATTGGGGCAGTTCCAAAGGAGGAGACTAACCTTTGTATACAGGCTGTCCCCTCAAAAATGTATACATACTTTAACAGCTGATAGCTCAATTTTGAAAATGAAATGTATTTTAATAAACACTGCCTTTATAATTATTCAAAGTGTGTGTATACATTTTTTGGGGACACCCTATATATGTAGTTTGTTTTTTTATACGTATTTTTCCCATAAGGTGTTTATTGCATCTTTTGTGCTGAAGATGGATATTTTAAGATTCACATAGAGCTAATATTGTGGACTTGCAGAAAATGTCAATATTGTCATGTTATTTTTATATTCTTAATTGTTTTCTATTTGTTATCAGAAAGTTATACCTGTAATTACTAAGGTATATTGCTTGTTTTCAGGAGATTAAGCGATGAAAAAAACCTTCCTCTTGACGGTAAACGGCAACGTTTCCATTCACCCCACCAAGAGCCAACTATAATTAACCACCTAGTGCCTTTATCAGGTGATAGAAGATACTCAATGCCTCCGTTGTTTCATACAAACTATGTACCAGATATAGTCAGATGTGTTCCACCTTTTCGAGAAATACCAATTTTAGAACCTAGAGAAATCACACTGCCTGAGGCCAAAGATAAGGTAATTATGTAGATTTTAGTTTTACATTTTGGGAAGTGAATATAAATAATGTATTAAAAGTATAAAAAATATCTATTGTCTTGGATTGAGTAGAACATGCCTTTTTTGCCCTGTTTAAAGTACTGTTCAACAGAGTTTTCTGTTGAAATTTGACACTTTGCTTTTTTTTTTCTTGGAAATGCAAATTTCATATTAGGAAATGAGAGATACTCTATTTCATAAAAATCTGTGATTAGAGCCAAATCATTTGAGTTCTTAGTTTAGAGAACTCTGTTGTTACTCATTGACAAAAACAAGTTTTCATATGGATATTTTAATAAAGTATTAAAAAGCATGCTCTTTTGGGATATTTGTGTTTGTCGTGAGGTTTTTGAATGTCAAATATAGAGAATCCAGGAGTAATAGGAAATAATACATTCAAATCAAGAAAGATTTTTTAGAAACATTATTTGTAAAAAACACATTTCAAATAAATAGAATTAAGCTATTTAAATAATAATTCTTAGAAAATGACACTATCTGCATTCTCTTGGATTGCCTATGGCTTATATTTGCTGTTTTTGCATTTTAAAAGCTGCTTCACTCTTGAAAAATACGACATTTGTATACTAAGGAGAATGAGCCTGAAGAGAGTATAGTGACTTTGTATTATTCATCTTGGGTTTCTAGCAACCAGCATAGCTTGGAACATAGTAAGTGTACAGAAAATGTTGAGTCAAAAAAGGAACACTTGCTTCATTCCTTAGTTGTGCTACTTTGTATTAATTCTTTTATGTACAATTGAGATAAAGTTGTACATAAAATTCACTCTTTAAACTTTAAGTGTATGATTCATTGCTTTTTAGTATATTCACAGAGTTATGAAACCATCACCACTAGATAGTACATTTTCATCACCCCCAAAAGAAATCATGTATTCCAGTAGTAGTCCCCTCCCTTTAGCCCCTGGCAACCACTAGTCAAGTTTGTTTGTTTTTTTAATCTCTGTGGATTTGCCTGTTCTGGAAATTCCATATAAATGGAATCATACTATATCTGGTTCTGCTTCTTTAACTTAGCATGTTTTCAAGGTTCATCCAGGTCACACAGCATGTATCAGTTCTGTATTCTTTTTTGTAGCTGAATAATAATCCATTGTATAGATATATCATATTTTATTTATGCAATCCTCAGTTGATGGACTTTTGATCTGTTTTCATTTTTAAGCTATTCTGAATAATGTTGCTATGAAAATCTGTGTACAGGTTTTTGTGTGGACGTATTTTCATTTCTCTTGAGTAAATACCTAGAAGTGAAATTGCTGGGTTATATGGAAATTATGTATAACTTTCTGAGGAACTGACAAAGTGTTTTCTGAAGTGGTTGCACCATTTTACATTCCCACTAGCAATGGATGAGCTTTCCAGTTTCTCCACTTTCTTGTCAACAGTTGCTGTTGTCTATCTTTTTTAATATAGCCATTCAAGTGGTTGTGCAATGATATCTCATTGGAATTTTTTGAATTTTTTTTGATTTCCTAATGATTAAAGATGTTGATAATTTTTTGTTTTTGATTAAAATATGTTTTTATTGATATTAGAGGAAGAGAGAGGGAGAGAGAGATAGAAACATCAATGAGAGAGAAACATCGGTTGGCTGCCTCCTGCATGCCCCTTATTGGGGATGGAGCCCATGCACCATGTGCCCTGACTGGGAATCAAACTGGTGGACCTCTTGGTGCATGGTTGACACTCAACCACTGAATCACATTGGTTGGGCTGATCATCTTTTCATTTGCATGTTGGCCATATGTTTATCTTCTTTGGAGAACTGCCTATTCAGATCCTTTGCCTATTTTTTTTTTTAAATATATTTTATTGATTTTTTACAGAGAGGAAGGGAGAGAGATAGAGAGTTAGAAACATCGATGAGAGAGAAACATCGATCAGCTGCCTCCTGCACATTCCCCACTGGGAATGTGCTCGCCACCCAGGTACATGCCCTTGACCGGAATCGAACCTGGGACCTTTCAGTCCGCAGGCCGACGCTCTATCCACTGAGCCAAACCGGTTTTGGCTCTTTGCCTATTTTTTAATGGGGTTTATTCTCTTTTTGTTCTTTTATAAATATGTTTTATAGAGAGAGGGATAAGGAGATAGAAATATAGATGAAAGAGAAATATTGATCAGCTGCTTCCTTCATGCCCCTTATTGAGCTCACAACCCAGGCATGTGCCCTGATCAGGAATCGAACCAGTGACCTCTTGGTTCATGAGTCGATACTCAACCACTGAGCCACACTGGTTGGGCTCTTTTTGAGTTTTAAGATTTCTTTATATATTATGAATACTAGACCCTTATCAGATATTTGATTTGCAGATATATTCTCTCATTCTGTGGTTTGTCTTTTTACTTTCTTTTTTTAATGTACTTTTATTATTATATTTCAGTAAATTTTTTATGAGACCTTATAGATTTAGAGTGTTTTCCCCAACCTAGTTTTTCTGTATGTCCTGTTCTTGGTCAGGGCACATGCACGGGTTATGGGCTTGATCCCCATTGTGGTGTGTGCAGGAGGCAGCCAATCAATGATTCTCTCTCATCATTGATGTTTCTATCTCTTTCTCCCTCTCCCTTTCTATCTGAAATCAATAATTTATACCAATATATATATCAATATATATATATCCCCCAAAATAAAACAAAAAAATACTATTCTTAGCTCATGTGCCATCCAAAAACAGCAACCAAAGTTTGGAGTCAGCAGACCCATGGATTATATTTATTATGAATTATCTGTGACTATGCTTTTCTGTGACTTGTGATACTTTACCTTTTAACAGTTAGTAACTATATCAGTTACTAAGTAACCATTGTTATTTAGGTAACAGTAGTTTTTATTGTAAAGTGTTAAGGAGAAAATATGTATTCATCTTTAAAATACTGTTGGTAGTATTGTTTTACACTTCTCACTGGGTAGTTATACATTTCTGAACAAATCTTTTTACTTTTTTTGTGGTGGATTAAAGTTGAGTCAGCAGATACTGGAGTTATTTGAAGCATGTCAGCAGCAAGTAAGTGATTTAAAGAAGAAAGAACTTTGTAGAGCACAACTGCAGAGAGAAATTCAGCTATTATTTCCACGTATGTTTCCCTGTTTTTCATGCCCATTATGTATATGAATTTCTGTTTTAAATTAGAAATAATACCTTATAATTCTCTTCTGTTTCTCTAGAAAGCAGACTTTTTTTGGTTGGGTCCTCTTTAAATGGATTTGGTACCCGGAGCAGTGATGGTGATTTATGTCTAGTTGTTAAAGACGAACCAGTAAGTAAAGAAACATTTATTCTCATATTAAGTCATTTAAGAAATTTTATACAAAAGTTGTTGAGGAAAATAATTTGTTTTATTTTAATTACTTCTTTGGATTCTTTGTTTATAGTAATTAAAGGAAACCCAAGAAATACTACTTTTTCTAAGGTGTTTGTACAATAAGCATAACAGGAATTTTAGCATTAATTTGTTTTTAAGTTGTTAAAGTGAGATGGCTTCACTCTTTCAAAAGAGCTCTGCCTCTTTTGAATAATTATTGGGTTAGATATGTTCCTAGGATGCAGCAAAGAAGAGCATATGTCAGTATTTTCTTTTTTAAAAAAATATATTTTTATTGATTTCAGAGAGAGGAAGGTAGAGGGAGAGAGAGATAGAAACATCAATAATGAGAGGGAATCATTGATTGGCTGTCTCCTGCACACTCCCTACTGGGGATCGAGCCCACAACCCAGGCATGAGCCCTTGACCAGAATGGAACCTGGGACCCTTCAGTCCATAGGCTGATGCTCTATCCACTGACTAAACCAGCTAGAGCAGTATTATCTTCTTGATATATTTTCTTTCCATATGAGTTTTCAGTGGTTCTATTTTTAATCTTTTTTTTACTACCTTGAAAATGCAGTGGGGTTTGGAGTTCTCATTTGGGAATACAAAAAGAGTGGTTTCACTGAAATTTAAAATAAAGCTATTTTGATATATTTCTTCTGATTTTTGGCTTTGTTTCCTTTATTTTTATTAAATTTTGTTATTTAGTATTAGGTTTATTTGAATTTCCTTTTAACTAATACTCTTGTGTATCCTTAATACAACAGTAATTGCTAACCTGAAGCAGCCTCTTTAATATGCTGAGATCCTTTCGGAATTATCGAGGATTAAATTAATTTCAGTATAATTTAAAAGGCTTCATTATAGTCTACCTCTTTAAAAAGACAAGAAAAATCTATTGAATGGTAATATATATTTTAACTATATTCCTATTATTCCACTAATAAAATTGGCTTCTAGTTACTGCAAATCAGAAAGAGATTTATTTCAGGAAAGAAACTTTATTTTAGGCTTTGAAATCATACAAAGGAAACTTAAAAAAAACTCAGAAATAATAAATGTAGTGGACTACACTAGAGTTTTAACACTTTCTCTCATGTAATTATACTATACTCAGGCACATCCCACTAACCTTTCAGTCTTAGTCACATGTCTAAATCATGACACAGCTTGTACTGAGACACCATAGATTTGACCCTTATCCTTAATCTATTATGGGGAAATAAAACATGTTATAAAAAGTTAAAATTAGGTTTATTTTTCTTGAAGAACATTGCTTTTTGTACATTTATACTAAAGGAAAACATGGCATATATGTCTCTTTCAATATTTCTTTTAAAATTTTCCATTAGGTTTAAAATCAGGAATTGACTTAGAAATTGTGATGTGAAAGACAACATAAACTTTGACTTTTCCTATGATGCAATTTAGTCTATATTGAAAAGTAACTCCAAAGAAAAGTATACTTTATATGCTTTCTCTTTGTTGAGATACATTAAGAAAATAAAACACTAAATTAAGAAAGATAATGAAAAAACACTTTATTTTTAACTTTTCAGTGTTTTTTTCAGGTAAATCAGAAGACTGAAGCACGGCATATACTCACCTTAGTCCATAAACACTTCTGTACTAGACTTTGTAAGTCGAATATGCCTCAAGTTCATATGTCATCTGACATTAACTGTTTACTTAAAATGTCTCTCACTTTATTTTCTGGTAAGAATTGTTTATTTTCTGGTCAGGATAGGTATTATGTGGATCCTTCTTTCCAAATGAATTCCCTTTTAGTTTTTATTAAGAAGAGTAATCATTTATTCAATAATTCTTCATTGAATTCACTTACAAATATCACTGAATGCAGTGGAGAACTCAGATATACAAACTTTAGTTCTTTTTCTCAAAAGGTTATAGATTGTTAGGGAAGCTGAGGCATGGACTATAAATAGCAGTAATGCAAAATATCTATAAAGACATAAGAATGATGTAGATAAAGTCTTATTTAGGTGAGGGAGAGAATTTCATCTGTTTTGCAGTGACATGGAATTTATGACATCAGATTTTAAAAATATGATCACTGAACATGAAGCCCAAATGAATTACTCCAACAGAAAGCAGAATTGTTGATGGTCACTGTTATTTTTAATAGGATTAGAATGATAAATATTAAATATGGAAGGGACCTTAGAGATCATCTAACTCAAAGGAAAGTTTTCTTTTTCTTTTCCTTTTTATGGCTTTTAATAATTAAGAAGACTGGTGATCATGGGATCAGTAACTTGCAGGAGTATAGTTGGTTTTTGTTGGTATTAGAACTTTTACTTGGAACTTGAAACTTTTAAGTCCTTATTTTTCACTAAATTTCACTGAATTCTTACATATAAATTCTATTTGAAGCTTAATATATTTTATGATTTTGGTGATAAAGCATTATAACAAATTTTTTATGAAAATATTTTTATTGATTCTTAGAGAGAGAGGAAGGAGAAGGAGAGAGAAAGATCGACTAGAGAGCGAAACATCTATCAGCGGCCTCCTGCACGCCTCCTACCTGGGATCGAGCCTGCATGTGCCCTGATTGGGAATCAAACAGGCAACTTTTTGGTGCACAGGACAATGCCAGCCTGGGCACAGAAATTTTTTTGTTTTTAAAAAATCGGGTGTTACATTTTCTTTAGTTAAAACATTAGGAAATTGCTCATTTGGGAAAGTTTGCAGAGTTTCTTATTTATGCATTTCTGTATTTCCCCAAATTTCTATAATGAATGATATATTACTTTGAACTCAGGAAAAAAAATTCTTTTAAACTTTGATGGAGTAAAAAATACGTAGATATGTGTTTCTCCCCTTAGAGATCATACTTATTTGAATGTGTCACCATTCCACGTGTCACGTTGCAAGCATTTCCACATTTAAGATTCTGTACATAAGTTATGACTGCCATAACATCTTGCCATGTGCTGGACCAAAATTTAGCCATCCCACTGCTGCTAGCTTAGATATTTTTCATGTTTAAAATGCTCTGATGAACTTCGTCATCAATGTTGTTGAACATTGGATCATATTTCTGAAAATAACTTGAATATAAAGCCCTTAAAATGGTATTAGAAATTCCATTCTTAGAAGAATTCTTCAATGTCCTTTCTTTGCTTTCTTTCTCAAAGACTATGTTTTCTTAAATGATCTTAGCTTAGTAAAATACTATTTTTAAAAAATTATACATTGGTACACTATGAATTTGATAAGTATTTGCAGATATTGACATCTTTTATCCTTTAGCTGGCTACATTGAGAGACCTCAGCTGATTCGAGCAAAAGTGCCAATTGTGAAGTTCAGGGATAAAGTCAGGTAATAATTACCTAATTCCCTTTTTTCCAGTTGCTTTAAATAATTTTTAGATCTTCTTTTGATGTAGATAATTAAGAAATGTGTACTATAATGTAATAGCTTGTCTTCATTAGTTTTTTTTTTCTTCATTAGTTTTTGAAATTCACTTAAGTCTTAGAAATAATTTTTGAAAATGGTCTCACCAATTTTTCATGGTTAACTGTATGTAGTTATTCTGCTTCAAATTTTGAGTATTTGAGACTACCCAATTTAAAGAATGTATGCATATTTATGTTTCAGATTTTTTTAAATGAGCACTTGCCTTTTGGAAATGTAATTAATGTATTAAGAAAATATCTTAATTGATGAAATTTTATGTGTCAAAGGGGTTGTTGTAAATCTGTATATTCTACCTGCCTGGGTTCTGAATTTCTTATGAGTATTGGAATTAGACTCTTTTAGATAATATCTGACTGAAATGTAAATATTAGATGTTGACTCTTTCCTTGATTAAAAAATGATTTGTTGTTTTCTGAAAAATAGATAGGATTCTGATAAGTCAGGTTTTTCTAGCTCAGTTTTATAAAAATAACATTGAAATATAAGTGTAAGTATATACACAGCTGATCTTCATTAGTCATGGATTCCATATTTGCGAAATCTTCTTAATGAAATTTATTTTGTAATCCCTCATTCCCCTAAATTAATTCTTTTACCACTTTCATGGTCATTCATAGACATGTGCAAGTTTGGAAAATTTTGAGTCACCCAATGCGCACATTCCCAGCTGAGGTTAAACAATACGATATTTTGCCTTCTTGTTTCAGCTTTCATAACTGTCCTTTTTACAGTCTAGTTAGTGCCATGTTTTTTACTTTTTTGTGCTTTTTGTAAGTGGATTTGCTGCTTAAAATGGCCCCATGTATAGTGTTTCTGTGTACAAAGCTGTGATTGTCCTCATGGGCAAAATACATGTGTTAGATATGCTTTGTTCAGGCATGAGTTATAATGCTCTTGGCTGTGAGTTCACTGTTAGTGAATCAACAACTTATTAAATAAGGTGTCTTTAAACAGAAATGCACATAGAAATTAGTTACATATTGATCAGTTGATGAAAATGTGACTGAAGGCTTGTGGAAACATGACTTTATTCCCCTAGGAGTAATGGTTTAGTAGTCACTAATTCGCTGTTTGCAATGACTTTATAGAACATAACTACTGTGAGTAAAATCTGAATGGACTGAATATATATATATACACACACACACACACACATATTTTATATATTTTTTATATAAATAAAAA